CTCTGGATTCTCTCTCTCTCTCTCTCTCTCTCTCTCTCTCTCTGCCCCTCCCCCGCTCACACTCTCTCTGTCTTTCAAAACTGATAAACAAAATTTTTAAAAAGTAAAAAAAAATTTAAATGCTTGAATGTTGATTCATGAGCGACGAAGTTGACAGTGGAGGCTTTTACCAGCAGATTGTTTTTCATGTGAGAGAGACTTCCATAGCAGGCATAGAGTTTCTGGGGAAGCCAGGTCTTTGGGAAGTGCATTATATACTAGTTAGGTGGGCTTTCAACATAGACATGCGCCAGAGGGCAGCTCATGCCCAAGGAAATAATATTATATTCGATAATACTTCTTTTCACTTGCGAACATATGTACATTTACATGGTGTACAAGTTTCACTTAAGACAATACTGATTTTGTTTCCCACATAGGTAGTCATGAAGACAGAAAGGTGAAATGGTTTCCAGGGGTGGGCAGTATCAAAACCAAAGACTTGAAACGGACCTGTCTCCAGGGAGGGGGAAAAATCTAGTTTCAAATATTCTTGCAACTCTTGTGCTGACCAAGTGTTTATTAATAGAAATTGAATCCCCAGTGGGTTTTTCTTTGGTGAACTGGTGAGCTGGAGAGAAATAACAATACCAAGAGATTGACTGTAAAATAATTATTCACCAGGGCCTGCTGGGCAGAAATTTCTCAACAGGCAGCCTCTATGGCGCCTTGGGGGGAAGAACGCAGGAAAAGGGCAGTGTGGAAGTCTGGCTGCAGCCTCTTTTCCTGAGCCGTGGTTATCAGGTAGAGAGGTGAACCCACAGGGGCCTCTCTGTTGGTGCGGGACAGGGCTATTGCAGCAAAAGCTGGACATCATGAATTCTGATCACAGATGGCAGTTATATCTGCATTTTTCTTGGTTGGTGTTTTCTTTTCTCATTCATCCATCCATTCATTCATTTTTTCCGTCAGTCTTCTGGGGGAAACTCTTTACTTCCACCAAGGTGCTACTTTGCCAGCTGGCAACCATCTGGCAGAGGAAACGCTGGTCTTAAGCAGGTTCGTCAGCTCCATTCTACTGGTGACATGAATTTTTCTACCTTGTTCTGCTGAATATATAGTAAACACTCTTAAAGATGAAAATGTACTTGAATTACACACACATTTGAAGAGCGGAGGAGTCCCAGCCCAGATACTAGCTGAGGGCTTTCTTTCCTCCTTTCTTTTTGTGTGGAGGTCGAGAACTCAGTAATACTGGAGTCCAGGCCAAAACAAACTCTATATGATCTACTACCGATTTCCTTTTAAGTTCCTCTTTTTGCTAGGACTGACTTCCTTTTATTTTACTCCAACTTGCATTAATCCCAGTTACAGAAGGTTTTTTCCTCTCTCCCTTGCTTCCAACTTCAAACATTTCTTACATAGGAAACAAGGGGCTTTAAAAAAAAGTCTACTTAAAAAAATATAAAGGATACCATGACTTTTGGAATATATTTTGGCAGCCTGCAATTGCAGAGTTCACTTCCAAACAGGGTTAGATGGCGAGCTGAAATGCCTACGTGACCACTGTGGTTGCTTTGAGCCAAACCACCTGCTTATCTGATCTCCTCTGGGAATGAGGTGGTCAACACCTACAGTGGTTATTTAATAATTAGATGCTTTATTTCTCAGAGGCCATATATTCCTTGACCAGCGCTGCCTCTTTCTGTGGGTTTTCACGATGAAAGCTGGGTGTTGACCGATTGCCCAAAGAGATCAGAGCTGGAGCATGCTTGGGTCCAGTATTTTTAGCTCGGGTTCACATTCTGTCTCCTCCCCAGCAGAGGAGTTATTGTCATTGCTGTCATTGACTTCCAGTAAAAAGGTGGTGCCAGCCAAAGCTGACAGACGGAACCACTGAGGAACTTCAGCCAGCAGAAGGCAGGATGTGGTTAAAATTGTGCTCTGATCCTATCACTGGACTCAGGAAACCTATTAGTAGGTTGGGGGGTTTCTAAAAGTCCTTCTCCCCTATTGGCCCATCCCATCTTCTCTCCCTTCAAGAGGATTTGCAAGCTGAGCTATCAGGACCACCAAAACAAGAAGCGGGGCTCCTCCTGCAATCTTGGCATAGGATTCTTAGCTGAAAAGGACATGTTGGGCATCTTGCACGTTTTAACTTTTCTGGAGACAGAGAAAGTCACAATGCTTCCTGGAACATGTTCTCTTTCACCTCCAGACTTGTCTGTATTATTATTGTATAATGATTACTATTATTTAAATGGTAGACGATGAGCTTAGAGGCCAAATAATGCCAGGATGCCTTCAAAGGGATGCGGCAGGTGAGGTGGGAGCGTCAGGCAGGCCAGCATCAGGCATGTCTCTGAGCCTCACTCTTTCTCTGATAAATGGGGATCATCACTGTACCTGCCTCACAAAGTTGTGGGGCATAGTGGGGAATGTGTGAAAAGTACTGTGAAAAATTTGATAGATTAGGAAAAATTAAAATTTATGATCTGTATAGTCTTCAAAGAGCCATTTTTAGGGCTTTACAACATCCCTGTAAAGTTAGAATGATTGAGATTAATATTTCCATTTGGCAGATGTGGAAACTGAGGTGCAGTGAGCTGAACTGATTGGCTCAAGGTCTTAAAACTTACAGAGCAGCACTGTCCAATAAAACCAATGCAAACCATATTTATAATTTGGAATTTTTTAGTAGCTGCATTAAAAAAATAAAACAGTGAAATTAATTTTTAATACATTGTATTTAATTCAAAATAGTCAAAATCTTATTTCAATGTGTAGCACTAGCCACATTTCAAGTGCTCAATATAGCCTTGTCTGACTAGTAACTATCTTATTAGGGCAGTATGGAATATTTATTAAGCACACACTAGGACAATACATACATGGAAGACATAGACCGAATATTTGAGAAAATTTGCTTTCTGGGGGCTGAGAAAATGGCCTTAAAAATATTTTCTCTTTGGGGTACTTCCTGATAGAGACCCTTAGGAATCTACTGGACTACTCTTTAAGTCTGTGAGAAAATTCCTAAATCATAAAGTTAGATATTTGGGACTCATTAACCCGTGTGCATAAACTTCTGTCCCTTGTCTTGCTTCCCAGCTCTCTTGAAAATTATGGTCTTAGTCTTATGCAAGGATGAAATAATTTCAGAAAGACCCCACATCCCAACAGGGCCTAGGAAAATTGTCAACCGGAGCTGAGTGATTTTAGTTGGTGAACAATTTTTTAAAAATCAGTGACAAAAATACAGAGCTGCCTGGGGAATACAATGCCTGTTGGCTGAGATTAATGGCGAGATTAATAAATGGATTGCTTGATGAAAAGGCGCAAGAGAACAAAAACCAGTAGAGATTGTGGAGGAGGCTGCTTATTAATGAGCTGTCAGCCCAAAGAAAGTTCACGAAACTCTTCTGTGTTAAATGCAGCAGGGCTGGCACTTCTAATAAAAATTGGGGTCCTTCAGGAATTAATTACACCAGCCTTACAGCAAGAATTTGTGGAATTGCGAAACGGTAGTGGCACAGACCAGCACGGGCCGCTACTGCAAATGGAGAAGCTGCAGGAGAAACTAATCATGTTTTTTCATTGATATGTAGGATATTGTAGTAGCATAATAGCCAGTCAGACACGAGGATGAATGATGGGGCCCAGATAGACACTGACTAATGAAAGGACACATAGTTCGAGTTTGAAGTCACTTCACGTTTCATATGTAAAATTCCCTCCTGGAATCTGATTTTCCCCTTATCCTGTGTGCCCGCCACGAAGGAGTTCCAAATCATTTTCAGAGTGATTATGTGAACGGCAGAGGGACTGGGCCATGATTTATCAAGCTATGCCTAGAGGGAGCACGGTGTCCATTTATTCCAAGTTGCTGCAATCTCCCTTACCCCCTCCACAAGTTCCCAGTTTGGCTAGCCTGACAATACCTTCTCTTAATTAAAATTTGGTGTTGCCCCTGCCCAATGAAGCAACCCAAAGGCATGCCATGACAAGACAGAGATTGTCTAGGTTTGGGGTCTGATACCGCAGGGTAGATATTGAAAGCTTCTCTCTCTTTGCCATGAAGGTAGAATGAAGGTATTCCTCTGTAATGTGTTTAGACCAAGGGTTCGCAGACAACCCATTCATCTCTAGGTCTCAAATTTCGTAATTGACCATGTCGGTTCAGGACTAAATGTATTCCTATCACAGCTTGGTAATTAAGGAGATTTCTGCTCATTGATTTATGTGCCGGTTTTTTAGGAGTGAGATAACTGTAAGAGGAGAGGAGAGAACAATTTTTGGTTGGTTTACATGAGAGTGTACTTTCTCCTGTGGAGTCTTAATGTAAACGATCAGAGATTGTTTTCCTTCTTAGAACTTTCTAGAACAAGGGCTGGGGCCTTTTTTTTTTTTTTTTTTTTTTTTAACTCCATTCAACTTGTACTAGGGTGATAAAATTTCTAGAGAGTGATTCCTTCAGTTGTGCATAGACTTTATCATCCTCTTCCTTTTGCTTGTCACATCCTTGAGTATTAGACCATCCACCACACATCACTCTTTGACTTTTTAGACCCTCATAATCCACATGATACTTATCCTTTTGATTAAAACAACTTAATGGCCTTTTCACGAATAATTAATCTGCCATCTTTTTACTTTCAGCTCCAGGCTTTTAACTTTAATGTTGAGTTATCCAGCCTGTGTTGCCTTTCAAGAGTTCTACTCCCTTTAGCCTCTTCCCCTGAAAGGTTTAATACCTCTTTAGAAACTTGTGTTTGCTGTACTCAGGTTTTTAAAAGGCTTCCAGATTACTCTCACATCCTTTCTGCTGTGTGTGAAGTGAATAACTGTGCAGGAATCAGTGGGGTGAGGTGAAAATTGTTTCAGACTCCCATATTCTGTCATTTTGGAAAACATGAAGGCTTTCGTTGCAAAATAAAGGTAAACCTCCATTGATTTTTGAAGAAATAGCTGTATATCTTTTTGTAATTATGTGTTTTTAACTCTGGATGTTTTTCTAACAGTGACAATTTATACCAAATGACCTCCCAGCTTGAATGCATGACCTGGAATCAGATGAACTTAGGAGCCACCTTAAAGGGGTAAGGTTTTCTCTGTTCCATGGCCCTTAAAAAGTACACCTGCTTGAACCGTTTTAAAGGCACTTATAACTCATGAAGAAAGTGCAGCTTTAGAATAGTCATGGCTCTCTGTAGGATTAAAATACTTTCCTCCCTCCCCCGGTTGGTGGCTTGTGGACAGTATTAAATTTTCAGGAACATAAAGAGGGGATTTTTGTATGTGTCTGGAACAAGAGATTGAGAATATTGAGAAAAACGCAAAGTGGCCTTTACTTATTGAATGTTTTAGAATTCTTCACAATTGTGTCAATTCAACCTCATTTAATGTTTGTTTTGTTAATGATATCACAGATGTTAATTATTACGTTATCTTATTGAGACATCCTTTCAGTTTATAATGCCCAGGATCCAAATTCGTATTTGAGCGATGAAGATTTGGACACTAAAGAGTAAGATGTGCTCACACCTGGTTGTACCAAAAGGGTTTCTTCCTGTTTGATATACAGTCACAATAGGGAGAACACAGCATAGGCATGGGAAATGCTTTGCACCTGAATATTTAAAAAGGCAAACAGGTGGGACTTGCTTCCAACAGCACAAGGATTCACTTTTCATTTTCTAACAAGTCTAAGTTGACGGCATTAGGATAGGACTCTAGTGAAGATATGATATGACATTAGGATATGACACTAGTGACTCTAGTGACATCCCTGTGATGCAGTAGGTGCTCTTCTAGGTCACCTCACTTAATCTTCCTGACAACATTGTAGGGCTTAGGTATTGTCGCCCTGTTTTCCAAATAAGTGAATCAAGCTCAGAGATGTACATCATTTCCCATGTTCACATCATGTTAAGTGGTACAGCTGGGATTCCAAGTCTGGATCTAATTCCAAAGCAGAGGCTCTTTCCAGCCTCAATGTGCTGCCTTCCACCCCACCAGCAACCCAAGTGGCACTGGGGATTAAGCTCAACACTCTGGACTAGACAACTAGTTTCACATCTCTGTGTATTAGTGACTTTTCATTGGATTCTGGGATCTGGGGGGGCTTGCTAGAGCCACGCATGCTCCATTCCCCATTCCCCACCTCTTCTTCTCTTCTAGAGTTGCTGCTGGGAGCTCCAGCTCAGTGAAATGGACAGAAGGGCAGAGCAAGTGAGTGGATGATGCAATGATGGCAAAGCCAATGATGTAGGCCTTGTTGACTGGCGCCTGGGGTGATGCAGGAGTTAGGATTGACAGTGGGTAATCAGGGTAGCGTTGGTGTAATGGGATGGGAAGAATCTCTCTCCCTCTCTCTCTCTTTCCCTCCCTCCCTCTCTTCCTCCCTTTCTCCCTCTTATTTATCATTGACATATTGAGGGCAAAAATGGAGGTGGTGACAATTCTCATCAACATACTCCTAGAAAGCAATTTTTACAGTGATGCAGCAGGAACCCTGTTCATTTCCTCTGGAATGTTTTACTAAATACTAAATTTGGGGTATTATACATATTCCTGTTAGATCAGTCAGATCTTTCAGGCATACATAACTTTCTTTTTCTTTGCTTTTAAATCTCTCAGGGAGAACTTAATTTTTACCCCAAGTCTGCCAGAATTCTTGCAAAAACTTTTTTTCATTCTCAACATCTGTGACTTCCCAGCATTATAACCTGCACCCTGGGACATTCCCGTAGCTCTTTCTTTTGATTTTATTTTCTGGAACCCTGGCACCAGTCTCCCTCTTCTTATCCTTCTTTCTTTTGTTTACTCAGTCCTGGCTTTTGAGTCACCCTTCAATGGTCAGCAGAGTTGTTTTTGAGTCTTCCAGGAGTTACTGTTAGATCCTTCTCCCCACGTCCTCCCCCAATTTTTCTATTTTATCCAAATCTCACCTTTCTCTGTCTAGACCCAAAAGTAAAAAAGCCCATTGACTTGAAACTTTCATCTCCACACTTCCATCCAAGGGGCTGCTGACAATTTCAGCATTTTGTCCTTTAGCTTGTCTGATGTCCCTTGGCTTCTTGCTCTCACCCTTTCTTTCTGGACCCTTTCCTTTTTTTCTCTCTCCCATTCTCAGAATTCAGAAACTGTCCCCAAATTAAATGCCAAGAATAGTCAGAACATGATTGTGAAGTGAGCAGTATGTTTCAGTTTTTAAAATTCTTTGTGCTGGAGTACAGGGTTTGTTTGTTTGCTTGATTACAAAAATGACAGATAAGGAATCTTGGCATGTGTTTAACTCTGGGTCTTTCCATAGTAGAGATAATTTTGATACCTTTTAAGGTCTTTAAACACATGATATTAGTCACTTGCTGGGGAATCAGAAGCTATATTGTAAGGATGAAGCACAAAGTGAAGTTTGTTTTGTTCAACCCCATTTAAGAAAAAAAAAAAAAACTAGAAGAGTTTTTATTTGTCTGGTCCT